CGGGCCACCATCCACGGCTAGCGTCTGGCACATGCGCAGGATCGCCGCCGAGGTGGTCCTTGCCTGTGACAGGAGGTCTCCACTGAGCGCCTGGCCAGAGGAGAGCGACCTATCCAGGGCCCCCGTGATGAATGCCATGTTGTTAGCCAATGCGACGACCTGTGCCGCATTGGCATAATATCTATCCAGCATCGGCAAGACATCCTGTCCCGCTCGGAGGGAAGGAGAGGTCTGGTGCCGGGCCACACGGATGCGGAGGGCTGCAGGGCCATGCGGACTGAATCCTCGATCACCGGTCCAGGACCAGTCCTGCACGCTGCAGTACATGTCGTACCACAGAGCAGGCCTCTTGGTTGCTAGGGGCTTTGGCCACTCACGTGTCGCGTAATGGACGAACGGGTCCATCCGCGGGCACAACGTGGGTTGCATCCTCCTCCTCCCTCGAGTGGTGGCGCCCACAGAGGTGAAGTCCTCCACCGTCTGGATCCAGCGACGACGTCCGACGCCGGAGGGCGAAGGGAACTCGGACGAACAAGGAAGACATCTCAGAATGAAGTAAGTACTGTGGTAGATCCCAAACGGCGCCAGAGTGAAAGAGGGGGTGCGGCCTTGTGCAGGGGCCTTTATAGAGGAGGGTGGCTGGTGATTGGAGCAAATTATTTTGATCTCTCTGGCGTGTGACCTGGGGGTCACGAGTGATATCCCACTAGCACCATGACGTAGAATAACATTCAAAGGTGAGACTAAAAAGTTCACTGAGAACACTGCTGCGGATATCTATTTCAAAAGTGTAATCGAGCCTGGACTAGAGAAGAAAGGATAAAAGAAAGAGACATGATAAAGGTACTCTGGATACGATATGAAAAAGGAAGAAATATCAGTCAAACAAGACTAAGACACTAGCCAATACATTTCTTATGATTTTTTTTTTTTTTTTGGGGCATGAAATTAGTCAAGTGGAAGATTTAAGTTGAAAAAGAGACTGCGTGACTCGCTTTTGCGGTGTATCTATTGTTTTTTCTCTTTTCATTACAATGCTGATGTGTTTGAATGCGTGTGTGAATGTGTGTGTTGGTCGACGCTCTTTGAAAGATCTGTGTAAAACCTATTTTTCATGAAACTCATGGTTAAAAGTAATATTGATTTTGGAAAATTTGGATTCAAGATAGCTCATTTGAATGTGTGCAGCTTAAGAAATAAAGTGAATGACATGCAAGAATTATTGCAGAACTATAATTTACAGGTGTTAGTATTATCTGAAACGCACTTAGACTCGAATATAAATAGCCCTTCTTTAAGTATAGAAGGATACAATATTTACAGATTAGATAGGAATGTATATGGAGGAGTAGCCTGTTATGTTCAAAGTCATATCCCAGTCAGAGTTAGAAATGATCTCCGTGTTATAGGAGTGGAAGTGATGTGGGTACAACTACATCTGCCTCATATGAAGCCTGTTCTTATTGGATGCTGCTACCGACCTCCAAGTGCTGCTGTCATGTATCTCGATCAAATATGTGAAATGTTGGATAGGACATGTGATGGTAACAATGAAATATTCTTTCTTGGAGATTTAAATATAGACTGGAAATCTCAAGGTTGCAGTTTGAAAAGCAAATTAGTTTCCCTAGTGAACACCTGTAACCTATCACAGCTGGTCCGTGATGACACCAGGGTACATGTAAAAACTGATGGTACACATTCAGCAACAATAATTGACTTGATTTTTACAAATGTGCCAGAGCTATGCTCTGAAGCTGTGTCCATTCCAGTCGGTTGCAGTGACCATAATTTAATTGCAGTGATTAGAAATACAAAAGTACAAAAACATGGTCAAAAATTTATATTTAAAAGATTATTTAAGCATTTTAGGGAAGATGATTTTGTTGCAGAAGTCAGTAGTAATGATTGGTCGGTTGTAGCACAATAACAGGATCCATGTCGTGCTGTGGAAGTATTTAATGCCTTAATTACAAAAGTCATAGATAAACATGCTCCTCTGAGAAGAAAAGCAGTGAGATATGTCTCTGCTCCTTGGATTGATCAAGAACTAAAAGAGTGTATGAGAAAGAGAGATGAAGCCAAAGTTGAAGCAAATACAACCAAAGACATTGTACACTGGAGAAGTTATTGCAAATTGCGAAACTGTGTGACTAAACTGAATAGACGTAACAAGCAATCATATTATATAAGAAAGATTAAGGATGCTAATCTAGACAACAGAAGAATTTGGGGAACATTAAATGAAATATTAGGAAGAAATGCTAAATCAACAAATACTTTTCTAGAATCAAATGGAACCTATTTGACTAACCCCAAAGATATTTCTAATAGTTTGAGCCAGTTCTTTAAAAGTAAAGTTGAGAAATTACATGGGAATAGGACAGAGGAACACTATTTCAAATGAGTTAATTAGGAAGTGTATGATGAATACAAAAGAATGTATGTTTGCATTTAAAACGGTGTCAGAAAATCAGGTTAAAAAATTATTGAAAGGAAGCAAAGAGAAACCAGCAGGTATCGATCATTTGGAGATAAAATTGTTAAAATTGGTCTCAGATAGAATTGTGACAACCAAATACAAGAGTATTTTTTAAACAACCGATTAAATACGAGCTGTCAGCATGCATATAAAGCGGATCACTCAACAACTACTGCTCTCACTCAGATTACTGATGACTGGCTACAGGAAATTGATCATAAAAACTTAGTTGGGACAATATTATTAGACTTGAGTGCTGCTTTTGATGTTTTAGACCATAGTATTTTGTTGAATAAGTTATGCTGTTATGGATTTCAATCAACAGCCTTAAAATGGATTGAAAGTTACTTAAGTAATCGAGAGTATAAAGTTTATTTTAATGGTAGCTATTCTGAGGTTGAAAGAATGAGTTGTGGAGTGCCCCAGGGCAGTTGCCTGGGACCATTATTATTTTCAATTTTTACTAATGATTTTCCATTGGTATTGAAACATGCAACCATGGCTGTATATGCAGATGATACTACTTTATATGCATCTGCATCTACAGTAGGGCAGCTTAATAACATTCTTAATGAGGAATTATCTCAGGTAGCAAAGTGGGTTCACGAGAATAGGTTGGTATTAAATTCTGAAAAAACAAAATGCATGTTAATTGGGTCACAGTACATGTTGAAAGCAACACCTAAATTATATTTGATATTAGAAGGAAACATTATTGAACAAGTAGAAGAGACAAAATTATTGGGGGTAATCCATCCATCCATCCATCCATTTTCTACCCTTTAATCCATTTCTGGGTCAGGGGGGTGGCAATCAGAGATGCCACCCAAGTCTCATAGCACCAGCCCCTCACTGACCCTCTGCAGGTGGTGAGTCCACAGGAGGACGGCTGCTCTCTGAGTGTGAGCATAGCCTTGATCTTTCAGTGGGGGCTTTGGGCAAAGTGGGGTTAAGTGTCTTGCCCAAGGACACAACGACAGCAGTCATCAGTGGGAGTCGGTGGAGAAGGTGCAGAGGTGGGAATTGAACCCACAACCTTCTGGCCTTAAGGCCAATGCTCTATCAACTGAGCTACTGTTGGGGGTAATAGTTGATTCAAAGTTGTCATGGAACAGTCACATAAATTGTATAGTTAAAAAAATGGGAAGAAGCATGGGGATGATCAAACACTGGGAAATGTATACCACAGTGGTTGACCAAGAGACTTGTGCAGTCATTAGTCCTTTCCCAGATGGATTATGCGTCGGTGGTTTGGTCAAACACATGTGAAAACAATCTACACAAATTACAAGTCGATCAGAACAAAGCTGCCAGAATTGTATTGAGCTGCCCGTACAGAACAAATGTCACAACAATGCACAACAGTTTAGCCTGGCTCACTGTAAAAAGCAGAACACAGTATTATTTATTAACGTTTATCAGGAATGTTTTAGTGTCACACAATCCTGAAACAATATATAATAAATTGAGACTGTTTTCAAATTCTCATGATCATGCCACACGGCAAAGTAGTGATTTAAGGTGTGTGCTCCCTGCTTGCAGAACAAATAAAATGCAGAAAACTAGTCTATCGAGCCATGGTTGCATGGAACTTGTGGCCCTCCTTTTCATTTTCAAAAGAAATTAAAGCTATATCTTTTCACATTAATTTTAATTACACATTAACATTAATTATACATCAAATATAATATTTTATATTTGATTTGGACTGAAGCCACTGGAGAAAGTTCATTTGTTATTATTATTTTTATAATTATTATTTTTTTTCATGGTTGTAAATGATTTCTCACTGAGCTGTCATATCGTCGTGTGTGTGCGTGTGTGAGTGTGTGTGTGATTTATGTATAAAAATATGTAAAAGCATGTAATGATTTTGAAGAGACCCCAGGAAGATTAGCCACTGCATCTCAGTGGCTAATGGGGATCTTAATAAACTAAACTAAACTAAACTAAACTGAACCTCATGAAGTTATTACTTGTTTTGTGTGTATTTGTGTTAAAGGTGGGGTACTTAATTTTCTCTCTCTGATCTCTCTCCCTCTGGTCTCTCTCCCTCACTGGTCTCTCTCAGAAAGAACAGACGCATTATGAATTGAGGACTTTATAAAACCGTGTAATTCGCCAACACAGATCAGAGAATCAAACACAAAATGCAATAATACAAACGTTTTATTTAAAAGCCGCCATTGGTCCATAAAGGGCAGATGAACAATGCCCATAAATGATCATTTATTCAGATGCTAGAGTCTAGCAAAGAAATACATTTTTATACGAACACATTGATTAAAGAATATTAGTTGGTTAGCAGCAGACCCCGGATGTCTGACATGTTGATCGTTTTTTTTATTTTATTTTATATTTTCAATTGGATATTGGTTTGTTCATGTGCAGTCATTACGATGTTACGATGCTTCTGTTTCTCTTACACACCTTGAATTAAAAATAAAAATAAAAAATAAGAAAAAGTCGTTGCTACCCGGAAGTGAAGGCTGACGCGAAGGCGGAAGTGGGAGCAAAGATGGAGGACCATGGGAGCTCTCCGGACGGACTGCTGAGCGAAGGTAAAGGGGGTTCGGGGTTCTTACGGACGGACTGTGCACACGACAGACCCCGGGACAGGTGTGCGAGCCCCCGGTAGAGCCCCCGGTGTGAGCGGTCACAGGAGCGGGCTGTTCCTCCAACACACTCAGAAACAGACTCATCGTGCTGTTTTTTAAAAGCCGATTACGTATTTAGAAGAAATTAGGGTTCATAAAAAGTGTTGACGTTTTAATAACAATGTTATAACGTTAAAGGAGATCATTATCAGAGGATATGGTTTAGGTTGTGGCAGAAACTAAATTCATAGAACTCTCCTTTTCACTGGCGTTTTATTACATAGTTACAATGTTTGGTCATGTAAAAGTTAGTTACCTTAGTTCTATTCTTAGATAGCAGCTAGGTCTGGTCTCTGGCTGAGGTCTGGTCTCTGGTCCCTGGCTGAGGTCTGGTCCCTGGCTGAGGTCTGGTCTCTGGCTGAGGTCTGGTCTCTCTGGTCTCTCTGGTCTCTGGCTGAGGTCTGGTCTCTCTGGTCCCTGGCTGAGGTCTGGTCTCTCTGGTCCGGTCTCTCTGGTCCCTGGTTGAGGTCTGGTCTCTCTGGTCTCTGACTGAGGTCTGGTCTCTCTGGTTCCCGGATTAGATCTGGTCTCTGGCTGAGGTCTGGTCTCTCTGGTCTCTGGTTGAGGTCTGGTCTCTCTGGTCCCTGGCTGAGGTCTGGTCTCTCTGGTCTCCGACAGAGGTCTGAGGTCTCTCTGACGTCTCTCTCTGGTCTCTGTGGTCTCTCTCTCTGGTCTCTGTGGTCTCTCTCTCTGGTCTCTCTCTCTGGTCTCTGTGGTCTTTCTCTGGTCTCTATGGTTTCTTTCTGATCCCTGTGGTCTCTCTCTGGTCTCTGACGTCTCTCTGGTCTCTGACGTCTCTCTGTGGTCTCTCTCTGGTCTCTGTGGTCTCTCTCTCTGGTCTCTGTGGTCTCTCTCTCTGGTCTCTCTCTCTGGTCTCTGTGGTCTTTCTCTGGTCTCTATGGTTTCTTTCTGATCCCTGTGGTCTCTCTCTGGTCTCTGACGTCTCTCTCTGGTCTCTGACGTCTCTCTGTGGTCTCTCTCTGGTCTCTGTGGTCTCTCTCTGGCTAAGTTCTGGTCTTTGTGGTCCCCAGCAGAAGTCTGAGGTCTCTGTGGTCTCTGTGGTCTCTCTCTAGTCTCCGTGGTCTCTCTCTGGCTAAGTTCTGGTCTCTGGTCTCTGCAGAATGGTACGTGGACTTTGTGTCGGAGCAGTTCGATGTGAAAGCCTACACGGCTCAGGCCATTCAGCAGGCGCTCATCAGTGAGCAGCTGGCCCGCCTCGCACAGGGCATCAGTCAGCTGGACAAGGAGCTGCACAGCCAGGTGCGGACCACACATATATACACACATATATACACACATATATTCACTCACTCACTCACTCACTCACTCACTCACTCACTCACATACAGTGTAGGGTTTAATCCCGGGATACGAGATTCCCGGGAAATCTGATGAAAACTATTTCCCGATTCCCGGGAAATGCTATGACGGGAAACGGGAAATGAAAGTTAAAAAAAAAATACAGTGCGCTCCTATTATAAAGCACGTTTATTGTTGTTCAAAGTTCAAACATATTTCATTTACAATCAACATGTCTACAGCTGAGAGGCAGCTCATATATTGTGTTTTTGACAACAAATATGGGTCTTAATCGCGCTAAACCACGACTTGTAATGAGGCCAGGCTCAGGGTACGGGGCACATGTGAACCCAGAATTTGGTTACGTCCAATTCTATCAGAAAGCTCCTTTCTTTTTTTCCATCTGCTAAGGGCAGCAACAGGTTTGGCTAACATACATATAACAAATTTTAAAATCATATAAAATGCATTTAGGGTAATGTTCTGCTTACAATGACGATAGGAATGATAAGGAAGAGAGGAGAAGGGTAAGAAGGTTGATATTAGAAATTGGATGCGCCCGAGAGCCGGCTGCAGCGAAAACACAGAGGAGTTTATGGAGGTGGCACCCGTTTTGTTTTACGCTTTAAAACTCTTTGGGCTTATTTCCAAATGGGGGCTTACATATCTGCGCTCAAACTATTATCTGGACTTAAACATGAAACTGGTCTGAACTGAATTGGTCTGTGCTGTTCATTAATAACTAAGGTAAGACCCATAACACAATTGGAAATGTGCCTTTTACGAACTTTTGCGTTTTGTTTGAGCAAACAATGCGGGCCATGGAAAACATTCTGCTGTAGCCAAACTAATTGTGAATAAGCCGCTCTGTAGGTTCTGTTGATTTATATGATATATGTTCATCTGACAAGGCTGAAGTCAGTGCCTCCAAACCACACGCACATCACTGGTCGACAAGTGGATTGCGCAGACATTTAGAATCTCATAATAGTGAAATTCCTGAAGAAAGCCCATCAACATAACATCTGAAAACGCTATGGCTACTTTAGAAAAGCTAGCAAGTCGCTTGGTGAAACACTAGTGGAGATGGCAGCTTTTGTTGGATTATACATTTGAGTGATATCATACATTACTTGGGCTAAATACAACAACTACAAACAACAGCTATTTCCCGGGATTTCCCGGGAAAGGCGTCGTCTTTTCCCGGGATTTGATACATCTCATTTTCGGGAAAAATATTAAACCTTAATACAGTGCCTTGCGAAAGTATTCGGCCCCCTTGAACATTTCGCCACATTTCAGGCTTCAAACATAAAGATATAAAATTTTAATTTTTTGTCATGAATCAACAACAAGTGGAACACAATCGTGAAGTGGAACAAAATGTATTGGATAATTTAAACTTTTTTAACAAATAAAAAACTGAAAAGTGGGGTGTAGCATATATGGGTTGGATGCTTTGTTACCCAGAGGCACAATACTGATCTTAGGCTAGTACCAGAAGCTAGATGCGTCTCACAAGAGAGAGAGGTGTTTAAAAAGACAGACAGTGGTACAGTGCAAAAATGTGAATTATATTGAGGAAAGATATATATACAAAAGACTGGGGATATATACAAAAATATATACAATATACACAATATGTACAATGAATGTAAGGGTGTAAAGTTGAGTCCATATAACCAGCGTCTTGCTGTAATCAAATGTCTTTAAAGGTCCACTTTGTGATGGGTGGAGGAAAAACATACATCAAAGAGAAAAGTCAGTAATGCAACGGAGACTAGCGCTAGCTACTAGCTCCATGCAGAATCAAACAATCTCACTCACCAGTTCCTCTGTAGAACAGTGCAAACAGTGTGACAACCGCGTCAAAGGCGTCCCTCCAAACTTTCATCTCACTGAGAAGACTGATCAGAGATGCAGCCAAGAGGCCCATGATCACTCTGGATGAACTGCAGATAACTACAGCTGAGGTGGGAGAGTCTGTCCATAGGACAACAATCAGTCGTGCACTGCACAAATCTGGCCTTTATGGAAGAGCGGCAAGAAGAAAGCCATTTCTCAAAGATATCCATAAAAAGTCAAGCCACCTGGGAGACACACCAAACATGTGGAAGAAGGTGCTCTGGTCAGATGAAACCAAAATCAAACTTTTTGGCCACAATGCAAAACGATATGTTTGGCATAAAAGCAACACAGCTCATCACCCTGAATCACGATTGTGTCCCACTTGTTGTTGATTCTTGACATAAAAATTAAATTTTTATATCTTTGTTTGAAGCTTGAAATGTGGCGAAATGTTGAAAGGTTCAAGGGGCCGAATACTTTCGCAAGGCACTGTACATACACACACATACACGCACACACATACACACATATACACACACGTACACACTGGTCTCTCTCTGGTCCCTTCTGGTTTCTCCTTCTGGTCTCTCTCTGGTCTCTCTCTCTGGTCTCTCTCTCTCTGGTCTCTCTCTCTCTCTAGTCTCTCTCTCTGATCTCTCTCTCTGGTCTCTCTCTCTCTGGTCTCCCTCTCTCTGATCTCTCTCTGGTCTCTCTCTGGTCTCTCCCTCTGGTCTTTCTCTGGTCTCTCTCTATGGTGTCACTCTCTGGTCTTTCCCTCTGGTCTCTCCCTCTGGTCTCTCCCTCTGGTCTCTCTCTCTCTGGTCTCTCCCTCTGGACTCTCTCTGCTCTCTCTCTCTCTCCCTCTGGTCTCTCTCTCTGGTCTCTCTCTGGTCTTTCCCTCTGGTCTCTCTCTCTGGTCTCTCTCTCTGGTCTCTCTCTCTGGTCTCTCTCTCTGGTCTCTCTCTCTGGTCCCTCTCTCTGGTCTCTCTCTGGTCTCTCTCTCTGGTCCCTCTCTCTGGTCTCTCTCTGGTCTCTCTCTGGTCCCTCTCTCTCTAGTCTCGGTCTCTCTGGTCTTGGTCTCGGTCTCTCTCTCTCTGGTCTTTCTCTCTGGTCTGTCTTTCTGGTCTCTCTCTCTCTGGTCTCTCTCTCTGGTCTCTCTCTCTCTGGTCTGTCTCTCTGGTCTGTCTCTCTGGTCTGTCTCTCTGGTCTGTCTCTCTCTCTGGTCTTTCTCTCTGGCCTTTTACTGTGACACATTCTCCTCATCCCGTGCTAAGCTGTGCTAAAAGCAGACAAAGGTTATAAAGTTGTGCCATATTTGTTGTTAGTAATATATAGTAAGTTGTGTGTTGTGTGTTGAATGTGTGAACACTGTGCAGGTTGTGGCCCGACATGAAGACCTTCTGGCTCAGGCCACAGGCATCGAGTCTCTGGAAGGTACCAGAAAACACGCACACACTCAAACACACACACACATACACCCACACACGCGCACACGCACACACAATAATACATTTTATTTCTGAGGCGCCTTTCTTGACACTCAAGGTTGCCTTACATACAAGTAAAAAAGTGTGTTATTAAAACCAGTTAAAATACAAAGTGAAAAGCATCATGGACAGAGGAGAGTGTGGTTATGTTAGTCTTGTCTAAACAGATGATTTTGAGGTGGATTTGAGTGAGTGAGTGAGTCGGTGTTACGGAGGTCAGGGGGGAGAGTGTTCCAGAGCTGGAGGGGTGAGGTTGATGGAGGGGGTGTGTGTGATGAGACGGGCAGCAGTGTTTTGGACCAGTTGGAGTTTATGGAGGGTTTTTTGAGGGAGACCGAACAGGAGGGAGTTACAATAGTCGAGGCGGGAGGTGACGAGGCTGTGTATGGGTATGACAGTGGTGTGAGGGGAGAGAGAGGGGCGGAGTCAGGAGTATGGCAGTAGTGTGAGGGGAGAGAGAGGGGCAGAGTCACGAGTGTGGCAGTGGTGTGAGGGGAAAGAGAGGGGCAGAGTCAGGAGTATGACAGTGGTGTGAGGGGAGAGAGAGGGGCGGAGTCAGGAGTATGACAGTGGTGTGAGGGCAGAGAGAGGGGCGGATTCACGAGGATGGCAGTGGTGTGAGGGGAGAGAGAGGGGCGGAGTCACGAGTATGACTGGTGTGAGGGGAGAGATAGGGGCGGAGTCACGAGGATGGCAGTGGTGTGAGGGGAGAGAGAGGGGCGGAGTCAGGAGTATGACAGTGGTGTGAGGGCAGAGATAGGGGCGGAGTCACGAGGATGGCAGTGGTGTGAGGGGAGAGAGAGGGGCGGAGTCAGGAGTATGGCAGTGGTGTGAGGGGAGAGAGGGGCGGAGTCAGGAGTATGGCAGTGGTGTGAGGGGAGAGAGGGGCGGAGTCTGGAGTATGGCAGTGGTGTGAGGGGAGAGAGGGGCGGAGTCTGGAGTATGGTGGTGGTGTTAGGGGAGAGAGAGGGGCAGAGTCGGTGGATATTTCTGAGATGGAAGTAGGCGATGCGGGTGATGCGTTAATGTGTGCGGTGAATGATAGGGTGCTGTCGAGGATGACACCCAGACTCTTTGCCTGAGGAGAGGGGGAAATTAAGGAGCCGTCAATGGAGAAGGAAAATTATTTGATTTTATTGAGGGTGGCTTTGGTGCCGATGAGTTCAGTTTTATTGCTGTTAAGTTTGAGGACGTTTGCTGGGACTTTATTTCTTGGAGGCAGTTAGTGAGAGAGGAGGGTGGGAGTGTGGAATCTGGTTTGCTGGAGATGTAGAGCTGGATGTCATCCGCGTAGCAGTGGAAGTGAATGTGCTGTTTTCGGAAAATGTGACCAAGATGTAATATGGGTTTAATTCCTTATTAATAAGATAAGATAAGATTGCTTTATTTATCTCACAGAGGAGAAATTTACATGTCACATTTGGCATGGATAGAGACACTCCGATTGTGCAAAGGGAGGAAATGTGCAAACATGTTACATGCAGGATATATGTACAATAAAGTGACAATAATTATGTACAACAAAAAGTGACAAGTGTCAATTGGAAACAGTGTCAATAGTAGTGCAGGTTTTCACACAGTGATCATTTAAAGTGACTTATTGTACAGTCTGACAGCGGTGGGGATAAAGGCCCTGCGGTAGCGCTCCTTCCTACACTGAGGGTGTCTCAGTCTTCCACTGAAGGAGCTCCTCAGCTCCTCTACAGTCCTGTGCAGTGGGTGGGAGGTATTGTTCATGATGGAGGTGGCTTTGGCTAGCACCCTCCTGTCCCTCACCTCCTCCACAGAGTCCAGGGAGCAGCCCAGAGTGGAGCTGGCCCTCCTGACCAGCTTGTTCAGTCTGTTTCTGTCCCGCTCTGTGCTGCCCGGGGCCCAGCACACGGCAGCGTAGTAAATGGCAGAAGCTACCACAGAGTCATAAAAAGTCCTGAGCAGAGGCCTGCTCACTCCGAAGGACCTCAGCCTCCTCAGAAGGAAGAGGCGACTTTGGCCCTTCTTGTGCAGGGCGTTTGTATTATGGGACCAGTCCAGTTTATTGTTAATGTGAACACCCAGGTATTTGAAGCTGTCCACCAGCTCAATGTCCTCCCCCTGGATGTTCAGCAGCGTGTGGGAAAGTGGTTTTCTCCTGAAGTCGATGACCATCTCCTTGGTCTTACTGGTGTTCAAGCACAAGTGGTTGCGCTCACTCCAGTCGACAAAGTCCTTGATAACCGACCGATATTCCAGTTCGTTCCCCTCAGACACACAGCCCACGATGGCGGAGTCGTCGGAGAACTTCTGCAGGTGACAGCTGTGTGTGTCGTGTGTGAAGTCTGAGGTGTAGATGGTGAAGAGAAACGGTGAGAGGACAGTGCCCTGAGGGGCCCCAGTGCTGCAGACGACCACCTCAGACTCACAGCTGCGCAGCCGCACTTACTCTGGTCGGTCTGAGAGGTAGTTGATGGTCCATGCAGTGAGGCTACTGTCCACTCCCGCGTCCTCCATCTTCCCCCGCAGCAGTGCCGGCCTGATGGTATTGAAAGCGCTGGAGAAGTCGAAAAACATGACCCTCACAGCGCTCCCGGCGGGCTCCAGGTGGGAGAGCGTCCGCTGCAGGAAGTAGATGACGGCGTCCTCTACTCCGATGTTGGGTCTGTAGGCGAACTGCAGCGGGTCCAGGGTGGGGCTGACCACGGAGCGGAGATGGGTGAGGATGAGCCGCTCCATTGTCTTCATCAGGTGGGAGGTCAGTGCGACTGGTCTGTAGTGAGCCGGTTCCTTGGCGTGTGCTGTTTTTGGAACCGGGATCACACAGGAGGTCTTCCACAGGACAGGGACCTTCTCCAGGCTGAGGCTCAGGTTGTACATGTAGCTGAGGACCCCAGAGAGCTGGTCTGCACAGGTCCTCAGCAGCCTGGGACTGATCCCGTCCGGTCCTGCGGATTTCCTCAGCTTCAGGCGCTGGAGCTGACTCCTCACCTGGTCCGGTGTGATGGAGAGGGGGGGGGACTGGGGTGTACTGTCCGAGGTGGGGGCTGGGGATGCGGGGGCAGGAGGGCCCGGGGCAGCCGGAGGCAGTGTCCACTGGGCTGGGGACGTGTGAAGAGGTGGGGGCGGGAGCAGGGACGTGCGGTGAGGTTTGTGATTGGGGAGGCACTGACTTTAAAAGTCAGATTTACAATCATTATTCAAATAAAATAGCATTTAATCACCAATGCAATGACATCCACAAACTTTATATACTGTAAAGATAAGAGAACCAGCTTCTTTTAATAATCTCACAACAAATCTAGCTGCTGACTCTGCTCCGCATCAAACAACATCTTTAAGAAGCGCAGGTGCGAGAGACGCGAGGAGAGAGAGACGCGAGGAGAGAGGAGCAGAGAGAGACAGAGAGGAGCAGAGAGAGACGGAGAGGAGCAGAGAGACGGAGACGCGAGGAGCAGAGAGAGACGGAGACGCGAGGAGCAGAGACGGAGACGCGAGGAGCAGAGAGAGACGGAGACGCGAGGAGAGAGAGACGCGAGGAACATAAACAATAATTTAAACAAGTTGCAGAACTCTTGAGCAGTGTTTGAATCAGTGTTTTTCGGAAAAGCACTACTTTGCCGGTATCTGTCAATGTTCAACATAAAACACAGATTAACAAACTCCTCCCCCGCAGCCGGACTAACCTCGTAAGTCCAGTGGTGGTCTCCCAGTCTATATTAATTCTTTCTTTGTTTGAAAGTCCAATTGAGAAAAAAAATCTTCATTCAAATCATCCATTTTCCAGCAAAAGAAATAGCATTTTGGGCTGATTGTTTGTTAGCAACTCTGGTATGAACTTTATGCTCACTATCACCCCTAGCGGTGAGGCACAGATACCGCCTGCCTCACGCCAAGCTTTTTCCTTGTGTGTTCATCTACGATCAAAAGACTTAAACTAAATATAAATTGTACACACATACGTGCAATACACTACTAAACACTAAGAGGAGTTTAAAAAATGTTTTTAAAGCAGGATATTTGAAACAAACGGTGATATATCAACTGCACGAGCTGAGTGCACTCAGACACACACACACACACTGTGAGGGAGCGGTCTGGGGTGAGGCACGCAGGAGCGCTGCCTCACCTCGTCTCTTTGAATAGGAATAACGGGATTTCGGCGATTTTGACTTCAGAAATGATCAAAACTGATGGGAACCGTGCCGAATATACATTAAAAGCATAGGACAGTGGATATAAATTATATATTTAAACTAAAATAATTATTAGTTTCCAATAATGGCAGGTGAGGCTCTGCCTCCCCTGCCTCCCCTGACTGCACGTCCCTGGGCGGGAGGGGGGGCAGATGGAGAGGGGGGAGAATCAAACCGGTTGAAGTACTGGTTAAATTCATCCGCCCGGTGCTGGTCTCCATCCGCTGTTCCTCTGGCACTCTGTCCAAAGCCGGAGATGTTCTTAAGGCCTCTCCACACGTCGCGGGCGTTTCCCTGGGCCAGCTTCTGCTCCAGCTTTTTCCCGTAGTCCTTCTTGGCCCTCCTGATCCTCCACTGGAGCTCGTGCTGGATCCTCTTCTGCTCCTCCCTGTCCCCTGAGATGAAAGCCCTTTTCTTGAGGTTCAGGAGGGCTTTAAGCTCAGGGGTCACCCATGGGTGGTTGTTAGAAAAGCACCGCACCTTCTTAGTTGGTACAGTGTTATCCACACAGAAGAGAGAATATAGTCTGTAATGCAGTGTGTCAGGCTCTCGATGTCCTCACCATGAGAGCTGCAGTATATAATATAATAACTTTACTTTGTATGACGTAAAGAGTAAGGGTTGGGCTCACACAGAAGATCCTAGGTTTGCCTACTGAAGCTGGGGTGAGTAAGTAAGACAGACCAGAAGTAACGGTGTGGTTATGGTACCATATATTGTGAATTAAATTTACAACAGGGAAAAAAATAGAAAACCATTTAAAAGGTTACTGCAGTATTTT